TTACTCTATTAAATCTCAGAGCTGCTCCTTAACAAAACCCTCCCCTGCAGCAGGTTTTCGACGCCAGCCTGTAGCACTGCTGCTGGATTGCTTTTATCACTCCCTTTTTGTTTTTTCCCCCACTCCTGATGCCATTTAGCCATCAGCCAAGCAATCTGACTGTGGAACAAGGTACCAAGGCAGCTCAGCAGCATCCACCGTGTGCCACTGAGGGTCTGGGCACGGGAGGGCAAGGGACAACGCTTGCCACAGACCTGCACAAAAAGGTGGCCGTGGCAAAGGTCTGCTTGGTTTAACTGTACACACAGACTCTGATTTCTGTAACTATGTAAGAGGCTGATAAGAAACACAAGCTAATTACAGTTCCACCATAAAATACAGAAGGGAACTTGAAACAACCCAACCCATATTCCTCGTTAAAGTCATTCTTACCACATGCTCTTAATTGCTTCCATAGCTAGGTTTCAAGGTAAGAAGAGACCATTAAAATGTCAGTCCACAGAGCACACCTCACCTTATCTAGATTGCATTTCAGTTCGTAGCGCCCTGGCTAAAGCAGGACCTGTGAAAGGCACTCAAAGCTGCAAAATCCAAACCACTGCACTGATGAGACATAGCAGCCCACGTGTGCCCTCTCACAAGAGATGTAACCAAGGACAGAACAGGAGTCTGAGAAAGATCAAGAAAAAAACACTCCATGGTTTTTGCAGGGCGTAATTGCTCTACACAGTGCTCTCATGATCTCCTACAAAATGCAAACAACTAAATAAAAATATTTAAGAGCAGTGCCATCAGTCTCCACAAGTAAGTTCATGTCACTTTGTACTTAATGATACCAAATACCATTATAAATTTAGCAAAAATACTTAATTTCATTTGTTGCTACAACTGAGCCTTCACACTGCATCTGGCTGTTAGGGTAGACAGAAGAGGGAAATCCAGAACTTAAACACTGCAGGGCTGTTTCTCTACAACCTATTAAATTTGTTTTCACCAGAACAGCAAGATTCAGCTTAAGAGTAACAGAGAGATCACATCTGATCCTTTTTTCTTGGAAGCACCCTTCCACTGAAATGCATCAGTGTCAACAGTTTTCAAAGAAACAAACTGAATTTGTATTTTTCGAGGCTAAACAGAAAGCTGAAGCCCAGGGACACGCATCTGCTACAGTTCTATGGCTTCCAGCCACCAATGTCACTGGCGATATTTTTCCTCCCCCTAAGCCTCTCATTTCAGCCCTGTTGCCATATGCATGCGGACAGCCAGCTCGCCAAAAATAAGTATTTGTGTCACATCAAAATAAGCACCTGCCACGGGCGAGCGGCCTGCGCTGCCGCTGCCACCGCTGTTTTGCAATACTCTCCCCCCCGTCCTTACTCACTGACCTTTCTACAACCATCCTGGCCTCCTTTTCTATTTGTTGCACCAAATACCTCCTTCCTCCGTCACGACTCCCTCAGTTTCTCTCACTCTGTTTTTCAGCACTTTCTTCATAAAAATGGGTACGTTTATAAACAGAACGAATAAACTCACGGAGAATAAAAGGGTTTGTAACGTACTGCGCTTCTGTTTTGATTCTCCTGCTCCCCACCTTGGGCTACGAGCGCTGCAGACAACAGTACCTCCACCAGACAAAGGCACAGCACTAGAGACACAGCTTTTGCTAAAGAGACAATTAAACCCCTCGGCGTGGTCAATCCTCCCACACGGGCTTCGAAGTGCTGCTAGAAAGCAGCCCAGGTTTTCACCTCAAAATGAATACTCGGTAGAAAAATGAAAATCAGACCCTTAGCCAAGCCATGAGAGGAACCGAAGGATCCCTCCTTTTCTTTTCCGAATGGCAAATCTGCAGTTTCATCCTCCAAAATCCTTAGAGCTGCAGAAAGGAGAGCATCTGCCAGCTCACTGAACCACCTGAGTAACTTTTTCCAGCCTAACTTCGAACTGTAACAACTTGCTCTATCAAACTGCCAAATCTACAGCGCTCATTTCTTTCTGTGAATCCAGCTGTCATTTTTCCCAAATGCCTTCGCAGTCCCAACTCTCCCAATGCCAAAAACAACTTTTCACAGATATACATAATTTTGCAAAACACATATGCTCTATGTATGGCACATGAAGTCAATTACCGAGTTTACTTACTGAATTAAAGGATGACACACACCAGTAAAACAAAAACCCTCTTGCAGACAGCAAACACATTAACCTTCTCCTCCCTATGATGCCACACTCTCGCACGGAGCGCTTAGGAGTTTTGAAGTCTGTGTTTTGAGTACCCCAGAAGATCTTCCACGCTTATCTCCATGGCATCTTTTATTCCCCGATTCCCACACTGTTTGGGATCATCCATCCGTGGAGTTAAATGTAAAACGTGTTCAGTTTGCAAGTCAGCAAGCACGAAACACGCACCAGGGAAAATATATTCCCTCATAAAACTAAAAAAAAAGAGACCGAGGACAAAATAGAAGCACGTACCTTTTAACTGGTCGGCTACCACGCTCTGACCAACTCGCTCAATCACCTTTCCATCCTCCATTTCATAACGATCATCCAAATATTTGGCAGTAGCTTCCGAAATATGGACTTTTCCAGCCACCCCGAGCTGCTCCATCAGATTGGCCAAATTGACATCGTTGGACCACACATCAAACTTGAACCTCCTCATGCCCAAAATGCCACACAGGACTGTCCCGGTGTGAACCCCCACTCTCATGTTGACCATTTCTTTTTTCTCTTGGCAAAACTGCTCGATGGCTTTAATCATGCCTAAGCCCATCTCGATGCAGCAGTAAGCGTGATCCGCCCGGGGCTCTGGGCAGCCAGCGACGCAGTAATAACAGTCTCCCAAAGTGCTTATCTTCTCGCATTTAGTGTCCTCACAAAGCCGGTCGAAACGGCCAAAGAGGTCGTTCAGGAGTCCCACCAGAGCATGGGCAGATTTATTGGCGCTCATTTTCGTGAAGCCAACAATATCTGCAAACAAAATGCTCACTTGCTCTATCTGCTGCATTTTAAAAGGACGGAATATTATGGGGGTTTTCTGTATGGAGGGCTTCTTCTTCCTGTTTTTGGGGCTTGAGGTGGAATGACGTTTGACGGAGTTTTCACTTTCATCATCCCCCTGCTTCATTAAGTCATCGGCTATTATTCTTGGCATAACAGAATGAATCATCCTCTCTTTTAGGGCTTTTTCCACTTCCAAGTCTTTTCCGTGCATGATGGATTGCCCCACTTTCAGGAATGTGCTTCTCGATCTGACTTCAGACATGATAAATAAATGAATACCGATGGCATGGATGCAGATGTGCAGGAAGGCTTTACTCAGCAGCTCCCAGTAAACGGCCCCGGCTCCCAGAGGTGCAAAACAATTCTCGTCACGGAAGTGATAACCAAAGGTCTCAAAGAGGACCGAGTAGGACAGTCCCAGGAACAAGCTTAAATACAAGGGTAAGTGCATCACCGTGTAAAGCAACAAGAGCACTTCGATACACATAGAAAAACTGCCTACTTGAGAAAGACAAGTGTCTGTGGGATCTGCCGGGGGAGTCCGGTTGGACATGTCACCACTTCCTGAGACAGGCTTCAGAGCCTGGAACTGCGGAGCCAGAGTCAAAGCAAAAACCAGGAGGGTGAGAATCAGCGAAGTCCATACATAATGGCGGGCGTAAGTCTTGGTGAAAGTGAACACAAAAAAGGCTACGCACACCAAGAGGAAGCACAGAGCCGGCACCATGAATACAATCTGTTTCTCCCGCATGTGTATGCCGAAGTAGATGCCCCAGAGAAGGCAGGCCACGCCAATGTAGAAGAGGGCGTAGCGAAACCTGCGCTGGGTCTGCGGGAAGCATCTCTCCATGCAAGCCTCCTCCAGGTTGTTGGAGTCAAACTTGGGGTTCCACCACTTGGAGGAGGCCCTCTCGAAGAGCTGCGGCAGCTTCTTCTGCCGGCGGAGGCCGTGGCCGCTGCCGTGGCCACCACCGCCGGCCCGGCGGGTGCCCCCCGACTCCCCCGAGCTGCAGCTGGAGGAGATGCTGTACTTGCAGTGCTTGGAAGAGGAGCAGCCCTGGTGCTGCTTGGGGTTGATTTTCACCGTCACGCTGTTGCTGTCCCCGCTGGAGTCGCAGCTCACCTCGGTGCTGTGGTGATGCAGCAGCTGCTGGTGCGGTGGGGAAGCCATGTTTGTCAATTCCTCCCGAAGAAGCCCCGGCTCAGGAGTTGGGTCTCTCGCTCTTTCTCGCTCTCTCGAAGCCTTGGGAAAAGCCACCGGGGGGGTTGCTCCTCGGCAAAGAAGTCGCCTCTAGTCTCCTCCCGCCGCCGGGGCGGAGGGGCGGCCGGGCAGCGCCGCGGCGCTCCGCCGCTCGCCGGGTTGGGCACACAGGGCGCTGGGGCGCGGGCAGCCCCGCATAGTCCCCTCGCCTCGCCCGCCCTCCTCCTCCTCCGGGCCGGGCCGGGGCTGCCGCCCGC